TTGGGTGGCATCTGTCTGAGGCGTTCTGGCAGGGTGAGCGGGGATGGGAATTCATGTGTAAATACTTCACGTGTAAATATGTGTGTTGGACTGAGTGACCCCCAAATATGTTACTAAGGGAAAATAACCTTTAATGGAGAGTTAGAAAGGACTTCAGGCCTTTGTGAGAGAGAGACAGATACTAGCTGTGATCACAACTGAATTAGTGCAGCTACATGGCTTGTGGCATCTTTGAGGATGGGCAGAACAAATTTGTGTTTTCCTGGAAAAGAGTAGTGATACATTTAATTTCATGCTACTTTCGGCATGTTGAGAGCCACATTGTTTCCTCCTCTTTCCCTGCGGTTAAGCGTGGATTTGGTGTCCTTTGGTGTACAGACTGCTATTGCTATTGATTGACCTCGCTGAACTCGGAGCAAGAGCCAAAGCTGTGGTATTTCCAGGCAGCTGTGAGCGTTTTCAGATGTAAGGAGTGTAAAGGCAATGGAATAAAAAGCAGTGACATTTTCGATAAGAGACCAAAGAAAGCCCAACTCATATTTTATTTATTTACCCAAAATAGTTTGAATTATTCATTAAAGTCGATATAAGTGTGTGAAAATACAAGGTGTTTCAAGAAGCAGCATCATTAGGGGAAGCTTAATCATTTGGCACTATTAATTTTGTAACAGGTTAATGACTTTTTTCAGGGAGGGCTTTTTTTCCTCCATCAAACTTTTCAGGACCAGCAACTTTTTGTACAGTTTCTTGACCTGAATACAAAGGAGATGGGGCAGTATGTTTTCCATTTATATTCCTGTTCTCTCTGCTCCCATTTATGTTTCTTCTACACAAGGTAAACAGCCAGTCGTTATCCCTGACCAAGGCATAGCCTGCCAGATCTCGTGCTTATTTTCCCAGTTCTTACTTGTTTCATCCACGCTTCAGTGAGGGATGCTTCGGTATCACTTCTCTGGGATGAAGGATGTTTGTGGTGTGACTTACCCCGTCCATGGCTTCTGCAAGGCTACAGCTTCTCTCCCCTGTTTTATGCAAATGTAACAGAGTCGAGCACAGGAACTCAAATGGGTACTTTAAATACAGGGATTTTAGTTTTTAAACACTGTCTTTTAAAGATTTAATGAAATCTAATTCTCCAGAAGTTGTGACAGATCTTAAAGGATCAAAACGTTCAGTGTTCCGCAGCTGGAATTGGTAATGCTGCTCTGTTAATGCAACTCAAAACCATCTCCCTCTGTTCAGTGGTCTCTGTGGCTGTGCCTTAAACGCTCTGTGGCTGTGCCTTAAATGCACACTGAGTTGCATTCTGTGCAGACGATGACTTTTAAATCAATTTTTTCTGACAATGCTGGAAATTTGGTGGGAATCGGTCATATTTAGGTGAGGCTTAAGAACTGGCACCATCACATCTCTGAATTCAGATTCAGAGCAAACAATGAGCTGCCTCTTAGCTTAACATCTGCACTCGGTGGGGGAAAAATTAGAAAGATTAATTGCTGAACCCAAGGCAGTGCATATGCTGCTCGTGCTGTTCTCTGGGTGCAGGGAATCTGCAGTGCCAGGGCCATACATGGACACATCCATGGTGCAGAGAGGCTACACAGGTACCCAGTACCTAAAATGAACATACTCTGCCAATTTAGACACCCCAGAGTGCCTGAGACGTTAGTGTGGGGCTGGCTGGTATGACACAGAACCTCCAGAAGTGAGGTAAGGAAGCCCTGAAAAATATCCCAGGGCATCTCATACAGCTTTGTTTCAGCAGTGGGATCCTATCCTACCTTTCTCAAATCTCAGGTTACCTTCCTATCAAGTTCCTCTTCTGTGAATCCTCCTCACAATGTGGCTTCTTGGTTGAGTTGGCAGAGCCCTCAGTGGAAAGCAGGGGAGTAAACGAAGTCCTAAGTGTTGTCCTGAGTTAACCTGGGAATAGCCCCTGGTTGAATTTTTTCCATGGGATAAATACTGGAGAAGGTGGGGGCAGCAGTGGCTGTAACTGAACTACTGAGGACTGCAGTTGAATTGGGTCCAAAGGAAGAGTGATCTCTGCTTTACAGTCAGGGTCCAGTGGACCTTTCACTGGGGGCAGCTGCAAACTCAGGTATTCCTCTCGTGTCCCTGTGCCTGCTTGTTTTCTTCTGCCCCAACCGCAAGCTAAAGAAACACTGTTAGGGAATTGCTGATGGAGCCATGAAGGGGATGACAAGGCTTTATCCCATCCCTGGCAGGTGCTGGCACATTTGGCTGCATCTACATTAGCAGTTACCGAGTTCAGCACATTGTGCCAGTGGCTGACACAAGGCATCTCTAACAGGGGGATGAGGTTTTTTCATGCAGATGAATTCCTTCAGCCAGGATGGCTGACACAGTAATACACCAGAACTGCTGCAGGCAATGGAAAGAGGGCCAGGAGGAACAACAGGGAAGAGGTGAGGGCATGCTCTTGAGAGTGAAGGCTTGCAGTTAAATTGAAAAGCTTGGGATTTCTTGCATAAAACACTTGATTCAAGTTTCCATCTGCACCCTGAGAGTAGTGAAGGGAATCAGTTGCCATCAGTTAGTTGCTATTCTAGATTCATATGGTTGTGGTCTGGCTAGTCCAGTTCTAACCTAGTTGAGTGTCTGCTTGTTGGGTGAGTGATAAGGCTGCAACCCAACCTGTGTGAGAATGCTCACGATGGCTTTTAGCAGTACTAGGTCTGGGAGATAAAACAGTGGACAAGGCGCTAACTCTTCATGAATAATGAAAGCTGTTCAAGGAGTTCATGAATTAGGGTGCCATCCACCTCCAAGGTTATAAAAGTCAGGAAATGCGGCCTCTGAGATGCAGTAGGAAAAGGCAGATTTACTTTTCCAAGGCTAGACTGCATTTATTAGGGAAAAAAATACTGCCCTTGGACATGTGCTATATATTAAAGGCAGTGCTCTCTGACAGTGACAAAAGGTTATTTACCACTGCAGTGTGGTCACTGAATTTTTACTTTCATATATAGGATTTTGTCCTTAACAGTTGCGTGGCCGAATGAAGGCTGTGAGGATATTGAGGTCAGAGCTGCCAATTAACCTCCTGATTTCAGAGGCTGATTACTTGCTTAATCAAAGACCAGACCCAGATGAGATAATGGGAAGAAGGTTCTAACAATCCCAGGAAGGGCTGAGTTAATCACATGGTGGTGAGCTTGGTATGAATGGGAATGTTTGTGGTCAGGAAATGCACAGCCTTTTCAAGCTTATGAGAAGGGGCAGGATGTAAGTCTTTGGGCCTGTAAGCAGGGTTTGGGTACTCTGTATCCCTTATATCCTTGAGCAATTGGTGGTTCCCTATATTAAGAGTGTTTTACTGAACAAACTGCTGATGTTCCCTAGGACTGGCTTGGTCCTCTTGATAAAGCAAGGTACAGCTGCAGGGATACCAGGACTAAAGGGCATGTTTTGCTTGTGCATCATCTCCACAAGCCACTCAGGAAGGTGGTGCTGAATTAACCACAGGTAAAGAGTCGGCCAGCATTAACTCTCCTTGTGTGGATGCTTTCACTCAGAAGTGAAGGGACATGTAGTTCTCTTTAACCATTAAAGAGATCTCATCCTTGCCCAGGGATTAAGCTGAATTGGATTAAGGCCAAAGTACTCCTGAGCAGGGCCACCCTCAGTGGCATTTAGGGCACTTTAACTTAACACATTGAATTATCCTTTTGTCCCACACAGAGCACCTCACTAAAGCAGTGCCAAAGATAAGAGGAGTCTCCCTTTCTCCTGGTGGGCTTGCAACTGCTCAGAGGTGAATCATAGGCAAGTCCATGGCTTTGAAGTTGCCATCCTCCATTGGAGCCAGTGGAAATACTTCTCAGTTAAAGACTCAAGCAAAAACCTTTCCAGCTTGCTTGGGAAATAACAGTGCTTTAGCATGGGCTATATAAGCCCAGCCCCAAATCTTCCTTCGTACTCAGGCAGTCAACTTGCTCTGAAGTTTCTGCTGTCATACTGTTGGACCCTGATCTAGCTAAAATAAAGACCTGTGGCCCACACGTGCTGTAATTGTATCTCTAATCACAGCACAGACAAAGCCTTAATCCTCAGAATGACAAAGAGGTATCTGAGGGAGGAAGTCTATTTGTTTGCTGTTAGAAAGAATCAGGTTTTGTTCCTAACCCTGGTCTGCACTGTTGATAAAACAGCCTGACTTGGGAGACATCTCTAGTGTATATTAAAATAAAGCCTATCTCTGTAATTAATGGGGGGATAAATCGAGGTCTAATTACTTGGAAGGCACCTTGGGCGAAAGATTCATGGTAATTGTGTATCCTCTTGAAGGAGTCACAGTTACTGGCAGCTCCCTTTGTAGCAATAAAATACAGGGTGAGTGGCAGGCAGTCTCCCAGGACCGCTCTTCTAGGGACTAGTCCGGTTAAGGTAGCAAATGCAAAGAGGCAGTGGTGCTCTTCAGGCTTTTTATCACACTGAAAACTCCTTCCTGAATGTGGAGGGATTCCTAAGCAGCACGTCAATGTGAGATCAAAGCACTTTCAGTCCAATCAAGAGTACGTTGCAGATTTCCCTCTTGAAGCAACCAGGGCCGGGGAGCAGCTTCTTCTTGATGCAGCCTTACAGAGGCATATTTCTTACCATTTTTCCACTTTCCTGCTTCAGTAGAGTAACACCCTTCTCTTGGGTCCCATGTAGAAAATGGATGCGTGTTCAAATGGATGCTGTGGTGTTGAATTTTGTAGTATGGTGTTGAAAAGCTAGCTGAGCAAAAGAAGAATCCATCCCACCAAGACATGTCTGTGTTCCTTATTTCCCAGTTTATTATCCTTTGGCCTGCTGGGGCCCTGAGGAGAGGAATCTGGTTTACCTGTTTCTTTACTCTGCCTGCTTAATTCACTTCTTAAAAATGTAATTAACCTTTTCCATTCACTTGGTGTGGGTAGCACTGTAAATACAGCACAAGGGCTCTGTGCTGACGACATCTAAGAATGTACCCGTTCCCTCCCCTTACACAGAGCTGAAGAAGCAAGTGGAAAGTGCAGAACTGAAGAACCAGCGTCTGAAAGAAGTTTTCCAGACCAAGATACAGGAGTTTCGCAAGGTGTGCTACACGCTAACAGGCTACCAGATCGACATCACGACTGAGAACCAGTACCGCCTCACCTCCATTTATGCCGAGCACCAAGGGGACTGTCTGCTTTTTAAGGTAGGTCTGCACATGCTTCTGTGGGTTCATGGTTTTCAGCATGCTGGAATGTATTTGCTCTTTCCCAGTGATCAGAGTGGAAAATAACTCCCACCCCTGCTATGTGACAGGGTGTTCCTTAGGAGCAAAGTAAAGATCCTTTCTTCTTTTAAAAAATGACTCTAGAAGGTTTGACATCTGATCTCCTACTTACATATCAAAGTAAGGAATAAAGAGAAGAGACTATGTGTGCATAATACCTAAGGCATCTGGCCTTGCACTTCACCTCTTTGTAGTACCAGTTATATACGCTGCGGCAATAAAACCTTATGTAACATCAAGGTTTTATCCTTACTTCACCACGAGATATATGTCCTTACTGCCTTTGCTATCCTCTAGCTTGTCTGCGTGTCATCATCTTCTCTTTATGTAAATTGGAATCCCTTTTGAGCAGCAACTCATCCTTGTGTGTGTGAAGTGCCATTTACGTGAACAGCACAGATGAGTAGCAATAACAGTCTGTCTTCTGTCAGTCTGATGCTTTTATTGGTCTAGCTAGGTGGTCTGAGGTTGGCTTGTGGCTTGATAGATGCTGTTTTTCTTCTGTTACCTTCCAGCTAGCACAGTTGAGCTGATGCAGTAGAGAGCAGAGGTGTGACATGAGAGTCACCAAGCTGTTAAGTTCTTTCATTGCCTTGGTTCAAGTGTCAACAGCCCCAGTTTACAGGTCAGCAGGAGAACTCTCTCCTTCTCATTGGCAAACACAATTAGCACCTAAAAATAGTACCTGTCCCCACTGATCCCCCTGCGGCGAGTCTCATTATGAGAAAGATGAGGGCTTGGGAGGTGTTCAGTATAAGAGAACTTTACAAGCAGGAGCTGGAGAAGTTCTGTTTCTGGAGACCTACAGCTGTGTGCCACGTATCGATCGCTGCAGTATTGTTTCTTCACATGACAGGACAAACGTTTTCCTGTTCTGCAACTTTAGAGCCTCAGAAAAAAACCCACAACAAACCAATAAAAAACCAAGTGAGGGTAAGTAGAAGACAGCACCTTGGATCCTTAGTAAAAGTAGGAAAATATCCCCAAACCATTTGTATTACTTGGCCTTATGAGGGTTCTAGACTGAGACAAATGGCAGCAAGAAAAGAAAGCTCAATGTCCAGGGAGGAGAAAGTCTGTTGGTTTTAAGGTACTATCCTTGAATCCTGAAAACAGTTCTCTGTTGAGATGGTGCAGTGCTGTTGGCTCTATCACCTCCATCTGTAGTGTTGAATGCTTAGTGAGTGAAACTTCAGCAGACTCCTGGAGACGTCTGTCAGGTGCTGTGGCCAGACAGAACAACTAACAGTTCTTTCTGTGTCATAGGAAGGATGGTGTGCTTGGACAAGGTAAGAGAACAAGAGAAAACTGCATACTGGCCACATGAACAGTAACTGGTATCTTGGTAGTTTGTCTCCAGTAGGATCAAATTCTCCTTCGTGTCATGGCAACAGAAATAATTTACATGCAGGAGAGTGAATAATTAAAGTACAGGTTCCTCTCCAAACACTCTGTTTTCTTCTCAAAGCCAAGGGTGGGTTGCTTACTGATTCGAGGAATTCCTCAGCTTCTCTTACTTCACATACACCTCTTCAGACAGCAGAAGCAGATTTGCTACTTAGAGTCTGAACAACAAAATCTCGGACTCCTTCTCCCTCTTCAGTCCATTGCAAACAATTCCCACTGTCTGCAGCTTAGGACAGCAGCAGAAAATAAACAACAAATTATTTCCTTGCTGAGTCCAAGCAGCCGGTCCTCATGTATGTACCAAGGCTTGAAACCCGGCTACAGCTTCCAGCCAGGTTGTGTGTTTATGCTGTGGAATTTCTGAGCCGGAGCAGACTGTGGGTGTTTGTGCGCATTTCGTTAACCCAGAGAGGTCACAAAGCAGGGAATGCTATTTGTATTTATTCCATTCAAGCAGTTTATGGAACAGGGTCTATATAATTAAACCGGAGAAATCCCCTGGCACTTTACAAGCTTCTGTGGTTTGCCTGCAAACTTTAGAGCATATTTCAGTAGCGCTGCTGGTGACATTTATTTTCAGGGGGGCTTCAGTAGCAGAGATGCAGTAGGAGCTACTGTAATGTAACCCCTTCAAAGCTAAATGAAGATGAAAGATGAGCTTGATTTTTCCTGACCAAGGTACGGGAGTAGAGCTTATTATGCACCTGCTGTATGTGTCCAGCCAGCTCATGTTAACTGGCATTACAGCTTCAGTGAAAGGGTTAATCGCAGTGCCATGCTGTGAATATAGATGCATCTATAAATGAGCACTGAATTCCAATGAAACCATAGCAGTATTTATTGGCGATCCATATCGATGCAACAGATGAGCTCATCAACTTGAAGGATGTTCCAGTGATTTCCAGACCCTCGGTGTGTGAGTGTGTAGGCAGCGAGGTGCAGCTCAGATTTCACAGCTCTCGCTTGCTTGCTCTTTTATATTCTTTTAATTAAACACTGCGGAAAGCAGTGTTACAGATTCCTCACCACAGTTTAGTTTCTGATGGGTTTATTTTTTTTGTGCTATGCAATGCATTATAGTTATTGGGGCACTTAACAGACTGGCATTCTCTTCTGGTTGCTGGTACATTAGACGTGTTAGGCCATGACAGACTTTGTGTTCTGCATAATGCTTGACTGGTGTGTCAAGGTCAGCCCACCCATGAGGCAGCCAAGAGCTGCCTTGATTCCTTTGTAACAATCCATTAAAGATACCTTTTAAAACAAACACACATCACTGTGGAGCCTCAATACCATTGTAGCCAACTTGGAATTAAGCAGTGGTGAATCAGGATGTCATTGCTTGGCCGTGTGTACATCGTGCTGTTTACCCTTGTCTCTGGCTAGATCCTGAATGAGAGTAAGGAAATGAGGTCTTTAGAAAGGCAATGACAATTGTTTCAGACAAAGAAAGTCTTCTGGTAAACAGAGAGACTGGTCAAATTTGAAGAGGAGATGATTTGGAGACACTTGTACAAATGAACAAACAGTGTAGAAAAATTGAATCATGGGCTCTTTCTTTCTGTGTGCCTAAAGACACAGCCCCAGCCAAAGCATCGGAAACCAGTGAATTTAAAATGAAAAGAGTGGAAATCCTTACATTTAATAGACCCTGTGGCTTCAAGGTACTGCTGAGAGCAGGAATTCTGAAATGGTAAGATACTTTGTGGACAAATAATAATAATTAGTTTTACATTAAATGCTCACATTTACCATAAGCAAGGACATGCACTGCTCTCTGCATTGAGGTGTAAAGGCAGATTCTTGCTATAAAGGAAGAAAATTCCCATGCATGCTGCTTGTTTTGGGGGTTGTGTCTCTGTATGGCTTTGCTGCTGCTGTACCTGGCAACACTGAACTATGTCCTCTGGAAATACTTGGGAATAAAGGGTTAAGTGAAGAGATTATTCACTGTGCTTCAGGTTAAGTGTGATGTTTCCACTCTTGTGGCATGAATGTGGACTTTCTTGTTAGGATGCTGAACTGAAATGGTCGTTGACCTGACCCTATGTAACAGCTACATCAAATCTGACAGTGTTTGGAATCTTTGTGGTTTCAGATTCCTCTAGTTTCCCAGAAAGCATTGCTCAGATTTCTTAGTAATTCATGTATAAATTATTTGGGTCTAAGCTGCTTCACAAAGAAGGTGAGGCTGACAAAACCCTTCCTGTATCACGGCGGTGTTACTTGAGCTCATAAGTAGGCCTGGCCAAAAGGCTGCCTGTAGACAGATATTCTGTATCCTCAGAGCCCAGCCTTGCAGAGTACAGAATCCTCTCTGCTTCCAAATCTCACCCGTGGTGTTAATTCCTGTCAAAGTTATCAAATAGAAACGCAAACACCAGCAGTAATTCATTGAAGAGCATCCCCAAGTTGGGAGGCTTTATGCCTTGAAAGGGAATACCCAAGATACGAGACAGCAAGGAAAACCAGAAGCATCTTGAGAAGGTTGCCAGCTACAAAGCTGGCACTTCTTGCTGCAAAATAAAACCTTTACTGGTGTCCTGTTGGACTGGTAATATGGTCATAAAATCAACAGCTTTTCTGCAGACTGTTAAATTAACAGCCAGTGGCACACACTGTCTCTGATGTACTCTTTAAGGACTTACATAGAGTTGGTTTGCAGATCTGTAAGGGGAACCGTCACTATCAAAGTTCAAGTCAATCTGAAGCGGTTCTGATGGGGTTCACCATGGGTGCAGAGGCAGAACATAGTGGGGGTGAAAAGGAAAAAGGTTTTGTATGGAAGTAGGGTATGGTGGAAGTACAGGCACCACCTTTAACTTCCCAGGCTTCCTTTGCTTGCCCATCACTTGTGTCCCCTGCTGTCCTGTTGCGTTTATATTGATGAGGTGTGTAAAATGCAACACAGCAGCTATGTGCACAAGAAGTAACAGCTTAATCCTCTTTTATTGAGGAGGGGAATAAAGCTGGATTGAATAATAAAGAACTTGGGGGCTACTTTTCAAACAAGGTGATGCTGACAGACTGGGAGCAAGGGGAGAGGGAGGATAAAAGAAGGCCAGGTTGACCAGAGCATAGAGCAACCTGGTCTAATGGAAGGTGTCCCTGCCTGTGGCAGGGGGTTGGAGCCAAATGATCTTTAAGGTCCCTTCCAGCACAGTCCATTCTGTGATTCTTTGGAAACTCATGTGGTTACATGTGTATAGAGAGACAATCTGCAGATATTCCAGTGCAGCTTTAGCATCAGTTTGGCCAAGGTGCGCCAGTGAACCATGTACATCTTAAAATAAGCAGGATGGTTAATACAGAGACTTTTGTTTGCTTGAGTGCTCTTGTTTTGTCTTGAAGCTGACAGCACTGTTGGGAGCTCTGAATCTGAGTCCCCATGCGTGGCATACCTGCAGCTTCAGTTATTTCCTCCTTGAACCCAGCAGAGTATCTCTGAGAAGCATGTTCTAGCTGTTTGTTTCTTTCTGCATCTCTGTCTTCTCCCCTCTCCTGCTCCTCCT